TTATTTTCTTTTTGGAAGTTTTTTCCCCCGTGGGGAAAGGAAAAGGTGGGGCCCACCCCTTAAAGGGTTACTTGGGTTTCCCCCCCCCCCCCCCCCCCCCCCCCCCCCTTGTCATTGCTCCCCTGAACCCCTTCACGATGCTGCAGTTGGTTTTCAATCCACGGAGGCGCATCGGGGTTGTTGAGGCCCTGGAGCACCCCTACCTTGCAGATCTTCACGCACAGGTATGTTTGTCCGCCTAACGTACAAGATCGAAGTACAACCGAATCGGACAGTTTTTTTGCTGGAGTATGCGTACCTCTTTTTGGAAGCACATGTTTCGTGATGTCTTCAGGTTTTCTGCAAGCACCTCAGCTGTCTTTATTTTTTTGGGTGCCAGAATTGTGCGTGAGGGCGTCCGTCCTACAAGCTTTCGTCTACACGTACCACCACTGTTTGTCCGAGACGCCTTATTGGTCACCGCCGCTCACAATGAAGAAAGACAACGGGCATATACTTTGTGGCTTGCGGCAGGCAGACGTTCGTAAGGAACAAGTGGCGTTTATTTGTTTGCTTTGGAACGGTAAACGCGTCTGGAAGACAGCGTGTTTTTTTTTAACACCGCAAACAATGACCACAACAACAGAATCGAGAATCAATCAACGACATTGCAAGAGACCGATCACACACATGGAACTCGCGTTTGAAGAACATTAACCAGGGGCAGAATGGATATCTCTTTAACGACCACCGACAAATCAAATTCCCTGTAAATAGATGATTGGCAAGGAGCCCAAGTGCGAAAAGATCTTCGACTTCGACTTCGAGAAGGAAGGGGGAGGGTCATCGGACAGGCTGGTGCCCAAGAAGCAGAGGGTTATCCCCCGTGGCGAGCTCAAGGCGCTCGTCCTAGAGTGAGTGTGCCTTGAATCGTTTATCCCTCTTTCTATCTCTCCTTTTTTTGTTTTCTGCTTACATCTTTTTTGTTTTCGCTGTTTTTGTGTCGCGGTTCCTTTGCTGCTGGTTTGGAGGAGGACGGCGAGAGCGCGCCGGCGTGTGTAGGCGTGGACAAACCTTTCGCGACGGCGATATCTCGCCATCCATCTTGTGTGGCGTAGGAGTCCTCAAAATATCGGAGAGAGTCGTTCGTTGCCGCATCTTTACAGTATGGTGTGTCTCGTGACCTTGTAATATTCGGGGCTCGGGATCATGCATGCATATTGTGTTGTACGTATTTCCCACCTTGGTCTGCCGCGATTTTTTATATTTTTGCGTGTTGTTGCAAGTGAAAGACCTGTTATGTCTCGCCATCCTTTTCAAGGTATCTCCAACGGGTATGTAGTCTTTCTGTTCTGCGTGTACCATATATTCTCGAAAAACGTGTCCGGTGTGGTGATAATCATGAGAGCTCCTTTTTGGGTCGCTGCTGCTGTCTTGTGTGTCTGTTGTTGCTGCTGCTGCTGCTTCTTCTTGTACTGCTTTCCAGGGAGCTGTTGGTGTATCGACCGTCTGCTCAGGGAGAGAACCTCCTCGCCGTGGCGAAGCAGGCGGCGGAGGGGGAACGCCAACAGCGCCTCAGGCAGTCGGTAAGACTCAATCAATCAAGACTCATGTGTGCTATCGTACCTATGTATCATACGTCGAATCAGTTTTCCCCGCCCCTGGATGCCGTAGATACTTCCAACGATGGCATGATGGCCTCATGATATCGTGAGATTCGCTGACACCTTGTAGCATACAGTATCAGTCGTGTACCGCTGTCAAAACGCTCGAGCTCCAGTATTACCCCCGCCCGAAATATCCTGGTTCATTTTTGTGAAACGCGTATCCTGGACGGCCGAACACCCGGCATATCGCTTCTCCGTCCCGGCATTGTATGGATGCGAGGTCAAGGGTCTAACAACTACGGCATGCGTTGACATACGTACACTCGCCCGTCAGTTTCGTCCTTTTCTCTCGTGTTTTTGTTGTCTTCGTTTTTTGACTGTCGCGCTCGGGTTAAACCTTTCTTTGCCTACCGCAGCGGCGCACATGGACTCAATGCAGCAATGCGAATCCCTAACCATGTCTCATAAGAAACGATTGATTCCCCCTTGAGACGGACTTTTTTCATTTCGGCACGTTTTTTTTTTTGTTCTAGGCCTCTCCTGGATCCTGGTCAAACTCTCCGGGTCTGGACGCCATGGACGCTTCTGGCTACGAGGCTCTTTCACCAGCAGCACAGGTAGGGGCACGCGGGTGTGTGCGTGCGGCGTGTATGGTCGATGAATGTCTTCGTTTTCTCGCACCCCCACTTTTCCTGTCTGCTCTCGCCGTTCACCACCCACTGGCCAGCTGGCTGTACACCTCGTTGCGGATCAGGGGTGCCCCCCCTCATCCCCGACCCGCGACTCCCTCGCCGCATAGGTCTTCCGAGGTATATGTTATCTAGATTATCTAGAGCTTCGAATTCTTTCAGAGACAATTCAAGTTCGAAGCATGACCTCTTGACTATTTGGCTCAAGTTCGACGCATGATGCAATCACGGCCGGTCGCCGGTGGTCTAGTTGGTAACCTCGAAACCTTCTAGAGGCCAGGTCAGGGGTTCGAATCCCGGCGTAAGCGAGCTTTTCTTGCAAAGTGAGTTTTTCTCTCGCTTCCGCTCCTGGCCTAGTGGATAGCGCTAGTTCGTGTGTACACAGAGGGAAGAGAGTGCTGAATTCTTCTCGCATTAAAAATCGAAGGCAAAGTACCGCAGGAGGGGAGGGTAGAGAGTAGAGAGGGGCTCTTCTGTGAGACCACGGGTTGGAGTAAACGGCACTGGTGCTGTGAGCGCTGATTTGAAGTGAAGAAAAAAAAAAACAAGAAATGACCCCTTGCACTCGTTGTGGTCGCGGTGATATTTTTCATACCGTACACAGATGTCGCTAGGTGGGCTGAGTCCGATGGACGGTGTCGGCCCCGGGATGATCACGCCTACTCCGGGAGTTCACGGGTACTCCGGGGCCGTGTCGTACGGTAGTGCAGTGCCGCCGCAGGACAACAGCAGAGGTGCGCCCACTTCTCGAGTCAGCCAAGAGTCTACCCTACATGCGTAGAAGCGTGTGCGTACAAGCAGTATGCATCGTGAACCATTTTCTGGTGATGGCGGTGCAGCAAGAGAGAAGGGGGAATCGAGCTATCCAACGTGCAGGCCTGCGTCTTGCATTTTTTTTCATTGTTGTAGCTTTGCTTGGTTCAGGTCGTTGGTGCTTGCCGCTATTGTAGTTCTGCTTCACGACGAAGCGTTCGCGTAGTACGCGCTTGGAAGCGCCTTCAGCGGGAGCGGACCTACCAGCAGTCTTGTATTTGGTATTGGCGAGGTATCTACTGTACGTGTTTGTGGTGGACCTCGTGTTTCGGGTGTTGTCAGGTTACGTTGCTTTTGTGTTTTTTGTGGCGTTTTTGCTTGCGTTGTGTTGGCGGTTTGTCGTGTGCCACACGGTATATCGTCGTGTGCTACAGCAGCGGCTGGGTATGGGAAGAGGATGTTGCAAAACACGGTTGCTCGCGTGTGCTCCTCTTGTTAGCATTCATCGACCACGCTGAGCGCATGACCAATGAAAAGACGTCGGTCTCGGTGGGGCGGAAACACGCTACAGGAACGGTTTTTATTTTCCCACGAGTTCCCTTGAGAGGGGAGCCATGGAGAAGAATAGGCTAGACTACGTATGAATTACGCCAACAGCATGTCTATTTTTTTGTACGCGGCGGTCTTCCCATCGTACCCGCTCTTCGTGGCCATGGACCAGCGTCAACGTCATGCATTTTGATTTACTTCTGTCCTACTTTTTTTTTTTTTGTGATTTGCGTCGGACGTCGGATTATATAGCGTTGTCGTGTGTAGGTGCCCCAACACCTTGATCGTCGCTTGCCGGTCACGCGTCTCGACACATCGTTACTCCTCTCTCTCTCTCTCGGTCTCGTGTCCGTGCCTAATCTGCTTTTGCTGTCTGTATGCCTTGCTTCTCTCTTAACCACCCTTGTGATAGCGACGTTCCAGCAGCCGCAGCAACAGCAACGGTGGCAGCAGCAGCAGCAGCAGCAGCTGCAGCAACAACAGCACCAACAGCGGCGATCCATGCCGCCGCCGCAGCAGACCCCCTACCAACCGTCACCATCGGCATCGCCGGCCGCGAGTCCTGCAGCGGTAGCCGCTGCCGTAGCCGCTGCTACAGCGGCGGCGGCGGCTTCTTCTTCTGCCACCCCCTTCCGAGCCCACCAAGGTGTGACCATATAGCTAGAGTTTCCACATCACATCAACGCTGCGATAGAAGCACACCAAGCCGTGACCATCTCCTTTCCACAGCAGCGAACAGCAACGCTGCAATAAAAACAGTCAACAAACTAGTCATACCACGCGCGAACCTTTTGGCAACACCTGTCTCATGTATGGTGACATTCCTCAGCAATACGTTGCAGTAGAAACAATGAGCAAACTACAGCAGTAGTCGTAACAAGCGCAAAGCTATTTTGCAACACCTTTGTTGACATTCCTGGGCAACGCGTTGGTCGTTCGCGCTTGACTGGGCGTGCATGCAATAATTGCCGTCTCAATATGCCGAGTTTGCCTCGTGTGCGTCCTCGCTGCCCGCGACTGCTATAATGCTAAATTATTTCCTCGGCGTCGTTTTTTTTTTTTTTTCTGTCAGGGTTTGGCGATGGACACAAGCGGCCACCGCCTCACGGAAAGCGGTAGACACGGCGCTCTAGCAGCAATGCCTCCGTCATCGAACAGCGATCCATGGGAATGCGCGTTGCACGATGACGCCCCGGAACAGCATTCATCTCACGCAGCGATGGAAACGGGATGATGCGATCGATGCGATCGAAACAGGAGCTAGCTCTTGCAGTGGTCCGGGCAAAGCACGTTGTGCCCCCCCCCCCCCCCAACACTCCCCCAAAACAAAAAATTCCCAAAAAATTTTTCC